TATATCTTAGCCTAACTAATTGTGAATTGATTCATTATACATAATATAGGCTGTTGAATTGCTATTGAATGATAAGATTTCACAACTTGCTGACTGACTACTAATACTATAATTTTAATATGTTAGACTAACTTCATGGTAAGTAGTATAAATGTTTCAAAAGTTAATAATAGTTAATAAGTTAATTTACACCATACCTCTTCTCATGTAGTAGCTTCGACAGAATGTTTATCTGTGGAAAGAAAGGGTAAACTTCAGAAAATGCAATTAGTTTTATAACAATGTGATTCTATAGAAATTTCTTTTAAATTAACTCTCTAAAGTTAATTAGAAATATATTAGAAAGATAAGTTATATTAGAAAAATACTTCCCCAAAACTATTAAGGATGAGAATTCCAGGGCTGGTTTAAAATCCAGTCCAAATTCCATTTCTCTCAGCTTAAGATATCCTCAAATTTGATTAGTAACAATGCATAAAAATAGAGATGTCTTTATGCTCTCTTCGTAAGTTGTTAAGATAAACAACTGCATGTGCATGGTTACGTATCCACTTTTAAAGCCCATAAATCACTGGGCTCATAACTATATTATGGTATCTATATAACTTTGGAATGATTCATAGCTCTCAGCAGTAGAAAGACTAAAAGAAGTAAAAGAAAGATTGCAATTCTTTTAAAACAATACCTTGATAATTATTTTACATCGCTTTGTGATCACTTTGTTAAATGTACTGATATGAAGAATCAATTGAGTGAATGAAACGTGATAAAAGAAAAAAGCGCTCATATATATTTTTTCTAGACTTGTATTTTGATGCTTTTTAGCAAAAACAGCAATAAAGATATTACTATTCTTTAAAAAAGTATCAGTTAATAAGTTGACAGCTTTGATTTTTGACTTAGGAGTGTGCAAATCATAATTTTAAGTACAGCCAGAGAAAAATAATGTTGACATGACACTTACCTTTACCCACAGTAGTGCTGCAAAAGATATCCGTAGGCTTTTGTATATTTCTTATCACACAAATCCCATAAAAGATGGAGATAAGAGACCCTGAGCATCTGTGCGCATGCAAATTAAAAATTCAGTTAAAAAACAAGTGAGCCTTTAATAACGCAATGAAAATAGCTTATCTGGCTCATCTTGTGTTGTATTTAAAATGTCTTTGGTATATACTGGATTTATATTGATTGAAAACTCACGACTTATTATGTGGTTGAATAATTTAAGATTGGTGATGTTAGTCAAACCTATAGCCTTATGGGATACAGAAATCCGCTGTTAAACCCATGATATGTTCACAGTATTGAACCAGCATAATTCGATTTGTCATTGAAGTCTCTGAAAGTGTTGTAAATGACATAGATTGCCATTGTAAGATGTTCACAGGAGCTGTTCAATATTCCAAGTGAACATAGGTCTGCTTTGCTGCCTATCATTTCTCAAGCTGTCCGAGGGCAAAACAAATCTCTAAAATAGTTTTGGTAGTAATTAGCAACAAAGGTGCCAGTAAAATAAACTTGATTAGCAAATTAGATTTTGCAAAAAATCCTAAATTGACAATTAAACAGCATGATGCAGAATTACAAGCACAAGTAGCCAATATTATCATATGCTGTTTAGAAAAGCACAAATAGTCAATAAATCGTGCAGTGGATTATTGTGCTCATTCATCTGTGGGTTGCTGGGGCACCAGCAATGTAATTCAATCTTGAAGGTTTCTTATTGTTTAGATTCCATTGTAAAATCTATTGATTATCCATGTGCAGCATGATTTATTCTTTCATCTAATATTTGTGCTCCGGGTAATAGGATACTGCAGCCATGGATTGTAATAGAATTTTACATCACATACTTTATTGTTATTATCTATGAAAAAGTAATAATAAAAAATTGTAAGGCATCATAAACCTCCTATTCATGTCATTCTAAGGAGATTATTATAACATCGTTACTTTACTAACATTGCCTACTCTAATAAATTTCATCTGAAGCATTGGCAAAATTCCATATAAAGCACTGAAAGTACAGTTTTGAAAATCATCACTTTCCTAGAAGGCTTTAATATTCTTCGCACTTTATTATTCTAAACCATCTAATACAAGAATCAATTTGACTTTTTTTTGGGTCTTTGTTATTCTGGATGCTCCAAGCTTTTAAATGAAGTGTTCTTTAGTCAGTGAGAAGTGTGCATATCTAGGATTTAATTTAGTTGCATAAACACCGTGATCTAGTACCATTTGCAATGCAAAACATCCACATGAAGCTGGCAGATGTGACACAGGTCCTTTAGGATACCCATACCCTTCCAGACAGGCAGCTAAATGGCATCTACCATTATTTTAGAATGGTACTAAACGCTGTTTAGGCAACTATATCAAGCCCCTACAGCAGGACTGTACTTTCTTTACATTCCTTCTTTCCTCTAATAAGAATGAGACACTGTCTTATAATTTACAGTAGGATATTAAAAGCTGAATTTTAGCTGTCCGCATGTAGGTGCCTATATGGGAGCTAGTGTCCAAACTGCCATGTCAGCCAGTGGAGACCTCAGCCCGATTTAGCTGCCTTAATCTTAATCTGGTCTTGGGCAATTGGGTATGTGCTATCTCATCTGCGGCTCAGAAAGACATGGGTTTCCTGTACACATCTGCACATGTACCAACATGGGATGCTGTGCAGATGTCTCCGATCTGAGAAGGCACCTCAAACAGCATGAGGTGCTGAGGTTCAGACAACTGACAGAGCATCCAGTTAATGCAGGCAGTTGTAGCCTACAGGGCTAATCCCCTGGCAGGTCTACCCGTCAACTTATAGGAAAAAATGCACAGGCTTTGCCATATCCATTAGGTCTCTGTTGAGTTAGATGGTAGCCTCGTTCCATGCAGAATCCTAACTTTAGGAGTCTAGCTTTTGAAACAAATCAAACCCTTTGCTGAATCAGTGTGGTACTGGCACATATGAATGCTGCAGTGAAATTCATTTTAAGAGTGGTGTGCCTTTGTATCTACCAGAATAAATGGAAAAAAGTCACTGCACTTCTTGACTGCACTTCCCTTCTCTTCGCTGTAAGCAGTCAGCAGACTTTTTTTCTTATTTATGTGAATACTAAGAGAATGAAAAAGAGAAAGGTAGAAAAATCCTTCCACAGTCTTCCAGGCGATGTGAAATATGAAACTAAGAGTTAATAGATAATGGATAAAGAAGAATAGAGGCAGTGACATAATCTTACTCTGGATTATAAGTACGTATCTCATTTTTATTGGAGGAAACGAAGGCATAGAAAGCATAAGATCAGTTTAATGTCTTCTCTGTGATCTTTTCTTTTCACAAAAATGTAAACTTTTTCTTTCCAAACTGACTGAAGTCAATGAGAATAATTTCACTGACCTTAAGATGCTTTTTTTCAGAATATAAGACAACTATTCTTATGCATAGATACACATTAAAGATGTGGTTGCTAGTCTTGGTCATTAGATGGAAATAATTCCAAGAGTTCCACTTTTCCTTTTGGCTAGTGAGTTAATATCTGACTTCAAATTGCTTCAATAGTTGACTGACATAAGTTGACACTATCTGATTCTTCCTGTTTTTACCGATGGTATTTGGACAATATTGACTGCTTCAGGCTTTCCTTCACTCTGTTGTTTGAGAGAGTCCCATTTAAAAAACAAATGTGCAAAACAAATAAATGAGGACCTGCAAAAATATACGGGATACCAGATGTATTAAGTTGCCTCTGAAGACCAGCCTGCAGTCCCTCTAAGGAGCACTGGTGCCTTTATACCGTACTGCTGCATCTCCTGAGTCTGCCATAGCTGTATGGCTGCAAAGTTCTCTTCCACTCCATGTCCTTGTGTCTTTTATCTTAGAGCTGCTTTTGAAGGGAACTTCTTTTTGTTTTGATGTAGAATTTTAATACTAAGGCATGAACTTCTGTATTGAATGAATAAAAGAAAGTTACCAAGTCATAGTCATCCAGTGAATAAAATGGGTTAAGATGTTTAAAATGTGTTTCTATGCATTTTCATTGTCTATTTTTTTTGATCTATTTGTTCCTCCTTTACCTTCCCTGAAGCGAAAGCTTCTCAGGCAGATCTAGGAAATACTTCAATGCAGAGGTTTTTGTTCTGTTTTGAACACTGTCATTTTTTCTTACCTGTAAATAACAGATCAAGTCAGGACAGAATACTTCTGTAGTATATTTAAACTCATGATCAAAACTACTCAGTGTACTTAAGCATTACTTGAACATTGCCTAACACATAAAAGTACATATAAGCCTATCCATTCAGTCCTTACAGGTAATTCAGATGTTGAGGCTTGGAGAGGGTGTGTCCTTGCACAGTGCCTGATGACAGCAGTTCTGCAAGTCCCATCACTTTGACCATAGCAATTGCCAGACTAACCAACATAATTCAGAAGCAAGTTCCCACCTGTGTTTAATACATCTCCTTCCTCTGGAAGACAAAAGACAGACTGCTCTTTAAAAGTTCAGTTTTAATGAAATGGAAGAATTGTTTGAATTGTTTAATGTCATTTTTACCCATCCATATGAGGTGATAAGAGAGAAAAGGAATGACTTGAAGTAGAGTGACTAAGAGCATTTCACTTTTTATTGTGAGTTGCAAAATGAGTTAAGGGATGAGAGCTAATGTGTATACGTATATACAGGTACAACTACAAACAGGTACAGTAAGGATTTGTTTTATTTTGTAACTTAATAGCATACAATTCATTTCCTTTTATATTGCCTAGAAAATACATGGATTATTAACTGTCTTTTAACATAACTTGTAAGGCGTTAGATATTGCCTGCATAAGAAAGACAATTGTTGCAGTTTGTGACTAGTTTATTGCTTCATAAATTCTAAGTAATAATTCTTGCAAAAATGCATTCAGGATAAATGTAAGATATCCTTCTCTGATTATTTTAAGTTCTTACTCTAATTTCTAATGGTTTTACCCTTAAAAATAATGAACTTCTTTTTTATTACAGAAACCTTTGAAATGCTTATCAAACTGGCTGAGAATTACACAAGCACACTTTTCTGCAACGCATATAGAAACATGGCTGTTGAAGCTGCTGCACGTGTTGAGGAGTTTTTCACTGATGTTGGGCTTTTCATGTTTGGCACAGACATTAGCACAGAGGAATCTGTCAACAGATTTTTTGACACCCTGTTCCCAATAGTCTACAGTCACATGATTAACCCCGGTCTGACAGATATTTCACTGGAATATGCCGAGTGCCTCCGAATGGCGACAAGAGATATCAGGCCCTTTGGCAACGTTCCAAAAATAGTCGCGAGACAAATGGGAAGATCCCTTTTGCGCAGCCGCACTTTCTTGCAGGCTCTGAATTTGGGAATCGAAGTGATCAATACAACAGATCATCTGCATTTCTCTAAAGACTGCAGCAGAGCTTTATTACGGATGCAGTACTGCCCCCATTGCCAAGGGCTGACTTTAAGCAAGCCGTGTATGGGCTACTGCCTCAATGTCGTTCGAGGCTGCTTGGCTAACATGGCAGAAGTTGACCTTCACTGGCGGGGATATATTCAATCCCTGGAGGAGCTCTCAAGTGCCATGCATGGGACATATGACATTGAGCACGTGCTATTGAACTTTCATTCGCGTGTTAATGATGCTGTCATACAAGCCCATATCAATGGACCAGAATTAGCTGAGCAGGTAAGAAGCTATTTTTAATCCATGCTTGGTGCAAACATATTCTCTTCACACTAGAAGAGTAAAGATGACAACTAATACTTGTTTTCTGGCCATTTCTATGCTGATGAACACATTTGTGTTCAGATGCATTTGGCAGTGTACTTCTCCAGCACTATCGGCTTTATTTTAATCATGCACATCAATTGCTAATTTTTCATATTCTGTTGACAAGTTTAACAACAAATGGGGATTCAACATTTTGATAGCATTTGCAAGAAAGGCAAAATGAAAAGCTATTTTTCATATATGTAAATTTTTTCATGTATGTGAATCATCTAAACATTTGAAGTAACATTGAAAAATGTTTCCTATTTCATATGAAAGCACAACTTTTTCAACGTTTTGATGAGTGAAAATTTTGTTGCACAAACCAGTGGAGGTGGCTGTTCCTTCACCCTTTTTGTTTATAAATTAACATTTTTAATAGATGCACTGAATAGCTTAAAACTTAATTTTAGAGCTGCTACTGTTAAGTTTTATTGAATAAGAATGAACAGTGGAATGAGTCAGCAAGTTTGGAAGTTTAAAGTATTAACAAGAGGAAAGTAAATTATCTAGAGAAAAACTAGTTCCACTAATATTCTATAAAAACAGAAGAATAGGCAGAGGTTTATGTAGATGCAAGTGCTAAGTCTAATATACACATTTAACATTAATATCGGTCTGGACATTGGAAACCTCTTGTATAACATATTGGGTGTAACTTTTAGGAGCATACAAGTTTGATTTTCATGAACTCCTCATAGGAAAATTGTTCAATCATTTAATTGTTATCTTATAGGCGCCTAAAGATAACAAATCATAGGCAAATCTCCTTTTCGATACCAATGGGCTGCTTTAAAGGACCTGCAACTTTAGGTATATCATTTGAAAAATTTTGTAGGTTTCAGAGGAAGTACATTTCATTGTACATTTCATCTGCAACATGAAGAGGATCTTTTCTTACGCACACTTCATGGAAAAATCAAGTTTTGTCAGAGCTATCTTAGCTGTGAATGCATAAAGTGAAGAATTTTTGGATACAATTTGGGAAAATACACATGGTGTTTAGCTACACATTAGAAAGAAAGCTAGTATATCTGCAAATTTATGAAGGTTGTGTAAGTAGCAAGATTTGAATTCTTCCTATGTTATATTTAATCCACAGTGTATTTTGCAAGTATGTTTTTCTCTGTATTCTTATATGCAGACTTTGCTGACAGTGACATATTCTGCACTTAAGGGGTCGCATATATATGGTTCAAGGAGATGCCTCTATTTTTAGAGGCTGCACAGGTCAATTTGTGGCTGGGTGTCACTGTGGTGTGGCATTACCGGAGGTGCCAGCAACATTTCTAGGACTACTACAACCTTCCTCTTTACTTTACTAGCTGCAGCCAAAATAGTTTCTTCTGTAAGCACCTGATATGACCTCTGACGATAAATAACCTGACCTGATATATTAAGTAGGGTATTTATTCTTCATTGCTCATTGTGCTAAGACTCATTAGTCTGCTTGTAATCAGTCAGTAGTAAGAAGATTTCTCCTTTCTATGAAATCTGCTTTATACCGGTCAGTTACTTCAGCAGAATCTCCTGCTCCTGAGCTTTCCTGAGAAAAACTGATTTCTAAAAACAATTTTTTGACTAACACTTTGGCTCAAAGGTGTCTCATAGGTGTCTTATGTGCTTGTATCCTAATGCGTTTGTCAGAGTCCAATACTCGCTCCCCAGATTCTCTTAGATATTCCACACAGGGAAGGTGCAATGTCTAATATCAAAATTTACTTTGAAGACATTTGATGTTACAAGGGATTTTTGATCTAGCGGAGTGATACAGCAATATACTGAAATCACAATACAAGTGTAAGTTACGCTTAGCAAAATACAGCAATTGCTTATACAGTTCAATCGTAATACATATATGATTCCCATTACCAGTCTCTATAATATGCTCAGCATCACAGCACTGGGTGTCCACAGTCACCGTGAAGGAATATGTGGGTTGAAGCCAGCTCAAGCCCATTGCTCTCTTTTGTTAGTTGTTCACTTTTTATACTCTATGTTCTGCTAAGCCATGTGTGTGCCTCCCCCCATGTTGGTCTGGCTAACTCAGGGAGACATAGACACTCTTTTGATGAACTCAGGGAGAAACCCTTCTGTTTCCTGTTTCATCCTGGGTCACTTGGTGTGAAAAGAGATCCACTCCCAAATTCTAGTCTTTTGGATTTTGAAGCGTATGCAGGCATTTCCCCAGGCTTACAGTCTCTCAATTCCTCATTTTGATGTTTTCAAAATGAAAAATTGTACTTGCTGACATAGTATATTTATTACATTCAATTTTAACAAAAAGTTAAATGGGTGAAGAAAACTCCATTCCCCATCATCTTAGCTTAAAAAAATTTTAGATTGCTTTAGATTGATTTGATTGATGCTTTATTTTGATATTCCTGAAAATTCTTTGCCTTTGTTCTCTTCCTCCCTCATCACCAGTTTTTTAGATTGTATAACAAAAAACCCACATTTTTTCTAACCTCGTACACAATGCCACTGAAAGTGCTCACATTCATTTTCATGGATGTAAAGGAAATCTTGAAAATGTGATTTGAGGATAACTTTATAAGTCAAAATTAAAGATATGAAAAACACTAACATTTTTTATCATCTGTTGTGTTTGGTGCCAGTATGCTTGTTTTAAGAGCAAGTGTTTACAATACTTACTTTTGTGTTAAGATCCTCTCATATAGAACCACTTTCAAACCATAAAAGTTAACAAGAAAATTTCATTCCCCACTGAATCTGGATCAGGCCTACGTAGTTAGTCTGTTCATTAACCTTATGGCATCTTTCACGTAATCTCTGTGCTACAGCTGATCAATCTTTTTTCTCTTTGATCTGTAATTCTGTCCAATAAGACACTGATGCATTGATCCCTTGAAACACAGTGATCTAGTTGGTCAGTTCTGATCCGCTGAGTGTGGCTTGAGTGTATTTCAAATTTGCCAGGATACTCAATATCAAGAGTTAATTCTGACATGCAATAGTCTTTTAGCTTTTAGAGGAAGAGGAATCAGAATTCTGTTGAAATTGGCTCATTAATATTTCTTTATTTTATCTTCAGAGTGACTCATGAGCTGTTTCAAATTTTGATAAGCAATTAATGCATCAGTGATTCTAACAGATATAGAAAAGATGATTATGAGCCAGCAAATAATCGCTTGCTTAGGCACTCAGCAATCTCTACAGTTTTAAAACTGAATTCCATCATGGCAAGTACTTATTGAAGTTTTAAAGAAGCAGACAGAGAAAAATCTTAAAATGTATGGAAATATGCATATGCATATATTCATGTAAGAGTCAACTGTGTATCCTTTTTAATGGTACATGCATTTGTATATCTTTCTCTATAATAATATGTATGCTTGCATATATGAATATACTTAAAGGATTTTGTCTAATAAGTTGTAGGGATATCCTTATTCTAATTTAATGTATATTAATCCATTAGGCCGATCTATATGGCGTGGAAAGACCACCGATGCCTACATAACATGGTTTCCCCATACAAGACTTTTTACCAGTAATTTACAACTTGTTCACTTTACCCTAGCTCCCTGGGTCAACAGAGCAGTGCCACACTGGCTCAAGTTGCAGTTGCTCTTTAAAAAATCTTTCCCTTTTTTCTTCCTGTTTCAGATTCACCCCTTTAATTTTTGCCTACCACAACTCAATGGACTGACTAATTCGGCAGCGTCATTCTCACCTCTATACCAGAATTTTTGTGCTATTCTGCAGAATCTACTGGAGATATGTGGGTTGTGCAACTATTTGCATATTCTTATATGTTCACATATATATATTGACATACATGTCAGCTCTGTTCTGTGTTCCTGAACTCTGTATATGTCCATGTATCTTCTGTGCTCAGTGTAGTAGCAGGCCTGATGCTTTTTTAGGAATCAAAAGAAAAGATTTTTCAGCAGACGTCTGTGTATGTGCTCATTCATGTATAATACAAGAGAGGCTTAAGGGAACAGCATCATACAAATCAAGAACAGTATAAGCTAATCATAATTAGGATAATCCAAAAAAGATTAGTTGATATGCATTGGATAACAGGTAAAAAAGCCTATTACTTTTTGAAGGACCTTGTAACTCTGTCCTATGCATCTCTTTGAGGTCAGCCTGCGTTGCCACATGCCCATCTCTCCGAGCTTCATATAGCAAGGGAAAAAGCTCTGGTGTGAATGGACCCTACAATCCCCAATGTAAGGGTATTTTTTTGTTCCCTTTAAGCTCAGGTGAATAACAGGGCCCCATGCCCCGGTGAGGCAAATCCTTGTGTCACTCAGCACAGTTCAGCGACAGCTTATGCGCCTCTTGGCCTGGGTTGCTCACGTCCCACTCTGGCACGACCCTCAGCTGCCTGTGTCCACCCCTTTCCTGGTGTGACATCTGCGTTCTGGCGTGAATGGGATGCTGGGTCAGAAAATGTCTGGAAGGAGGCTCTTTTAGTCATATTTTCTTCAGCATGTGCAAACTTGCTGTGCATTGGACAATGTAATGTTAAGAGGTCTGGAGGGGAGGTGAGATGGGCCCCAGGCAGGAGCGGAAGAAAAACAGGGAAGGGAACATGAAAGAAGGGAAAAGGCAAAGGTAGAAGGTTTTGTAATTAAAATATTTCTTCCACACTTTACATGAAACTATTGTTCTCGAATCCCAAAAGATCAATGGTGTTTGTGATTAATACTGAATAAAAGAGATGAAAAGGAATATTGATTAGTTGCTCATTTTATATTCTGGGCACTGCCGATTTGGGGATCTGGATGAAAAAGGAGTATGTGACCACAATATTAAAAGCTATATATGTCTATAAATATACGGGAATCAGAAACACAATAGAAAAGATTAAAATTGCACAGACAAATTCTGGCATTTCCTAATTTTGTTAAGTGATGAATTTGTACTTCACATTTAGAAAA